TATTTCAGTTAGATATTTGTAAGATTCGATACATTCAAGAGATGTCAAATATAACTTGAATTCAGATAAAAACATACTTAAGATTGAGGATGATCTCAATACTCTCTGTTTATGAATAAAGAATTTTGCTAAACATAAAATTAGGTTACAACAGAGTTCTATTGTTTTGTCTTTCAATAGTATTCCAAAAACTACCATATCTCTAGAGATAGAGTTAGGGAGTGCAATTTTTGATTTGATCCATCTTTCTAAGCAATTCCAAAATGTTTTAGTCTGACTGCATTCATAGAAGACATGGTCTATAGTTTCTACATCACTTTCACAGAATGAGCATTTATCAATATTAAACCAATTCTTAGTAGTTCTTTTGAGGGGTAGATTGCATTTAAACATTTAAAGTGAGTTTCTTTAGCTTTTGGTTGTATGGGAAGTTTAAAAAAAAGAAGTTCTTAGTATTTCAATTGATTTTTGTTCAGATTTGCAAAGAATATTATTTTTATTTATTTTCCCAGGGAACAAAGTTTTGTTTAGACAGTTTCTAATTGTGTGGTTATTGAATTTTTGATCAGTGATTGATATTCCATTAATAGATAAATTGGGTAGCTTTGGGGTAATTGTATGATATATTATTATATTTTGAATCTGATTAATAAATTGTTTTGGCAAGGCGTTAAGTAATCTTGTAAATTCATCTTTTGGAGGGAGGAACTAATATTTTGTACAGAATTTTTTGTAATGTAATATGCAAACATTAGTGTCCATTAAGTGTATAATAGACCAAATATTCTTCTCCATCCAATCTTTGTAGAATAATGATTTATTGCGATGTAGAATAAATCTATTATTCCATATGATAGAGGAGTGTGGCGAGTAGTTATGAACATATATCATTTTCCAGTATAGTAATACTTGTTGATGGAACTCTGATAGTTTAATGGGTAATTTATGTATTTTTTAATCAGCTAAGAGTACTAGTTTTAGACCACCTATTTTTTTAAATATATAATTAGGAACACAATACCAGAATAAATTAGAATTTTTAATCCAGGATTTCAACCAGTTAATCTTAAGGGTTCCGTTAAGACATTCAAAGTTAATTACTTTCAGACCGCCATCTTTAATTTCTTTGACCATATGACTTTTTCGTAAGTAGTGTGGCCTGTTTTTCCAAATAAAGTTCATGTTAATTTGGTAAATAGTTTTGGTTATGCTATTTGGGATGGCAGTACTATAAGTTGAATAAATTAACCTTGACAAACATTCCATTTTGGATAAGTAAATTCGCCCTAAAATAGAGAGCTCTCATTGAAGCCATGAGTTAAGTTTGGATTTACTTGCTTTAATTCTGTTTCTAATAGTTAAGGTTGAGTTATGATTTTTGGTTACAATAGTTCCCAAGTATTTAATTTCAGATTTAATTAGAATGTTGGATATTTCTTTTAGAGGGGTGTCATGAATAGCTATAAGTTCATTTTTTTTATATTTAGCGTTAGTCCTGAAGCTTCTGAAAAAAAGTTTAATTTTATCAATTACAATTGGAACTTGTTTGAGATCTTTTAAAAAAACGGTGGTGTCATCTGCTAACTAGCTAATGATTAATTCTGTACCGAAAACGTCTAATTTCTCAATGTCTGCACAATTTTTAAGATAGATCGCTAACATTTCTGCAACTAAGTTAAACAGATATGGTGAAATGGGACAACCTTGAGGAATTCCAACATTAATTGCTATATTCAATTAGGTCTTTTACCAGTCTAATATTGTTGTGAATTGATCTTCCTTTTAGGAAACCAGATTGAGATTCTGCAATTATGTTTGAGATTCCGGATTGTAGACTTATGGTAAATATGTATGTCAATAATTTATAATCTGAATTTCTGAGTGTAATGGGTCTTCTATTTTCAATAATTCTGGGGTCCTTGTCTGGTTTTGGGATACATAATAATAATAGTAATTCCTTGTTTCATTGTGGTAGGTATAGTATGACTTTTAAAGATGTCTGTAAAAACTTGATGCATTAATATTTTGATTTCTTTCCAAAAGTGTTTATTAAAGTTCCCAGTAAGTCCATTGGGACCTGGTGCTTTGTTTAATGATACACGGTTAACAGCCTTATCAAGTTCTTCTATTGTAATAATGTTGTTGCAGATTTTTTTGTAGTTATCATCTATTTTGGGGATAAATGTTTCAATTTGATTAAGAAAGGTGTGAGATTTTGATTCTGAGAATTTGGAAGTATATAAATTGCTTCAACATTGTTTATTATTAAGGATTGGATAGAATTTTGTTGTTGTCTTATTACAAAAGTAGGCCGTGTTTTTTTCTCCTTCCTTGATCCATTTCGCTCTTGATCTAATAAAGGCTCCTTTGGCCTTTTGAATATACATTTCATCCAGTTTATTTAGGAGGATTCGCATTTTTTGTTTGTCTTCACTTGATGGGTTGGGTTTATTGCAATATATATTTAGTTGTTGTACAATATCAAGTTCTTTTCTTTGGAGTTCTTTTTTAATTTGTTTACTGAATGAGATAGAAAATTGGCTGATCTTGTACTTTAGGAATTCCCATTTTTGAACAGGGTCATTTAATTCTTTAGAATGCTTTATATTCTGGATTAATTCTTTGATTTTTTTTTTTGACAGTATGTGTCATTTTTTGGAAGACTGTAGTTAAATTTCCAATATTTATTTGCGCCTGGTTTCCAGTT